CTGATTGGCGGTGGTAGAATTGAGCTGGATTCTAGTTACCCCTTGAACCATGTGAGGAGCTCTGGGCTTGGGGTCTCCTTGATGGAAACTAATATTGAATGTGACTTCAGTTAATGATGACTGTGACTCCTCCTTTCAAGGGATCAGCGTACATCCCGGCCCTTCACCAGATCCCTTCGCCGGCTCTGGTTAGTTGGGTGCAAGTAAAATTTATAGCGCTTTACTGTAAAAGCCCCGGACTTGAAAAAGGATTTTTCTCTCAGTAGCTCAAGCCACAGGAGGACTCGTAAGACAGCTGTCTCCCCAGGTGAGACTTCTTAAATGGGAGCTAAGTGCATACATTTTCAAGAAACTAAACTGCCCTCATATATAATTTAACCTGGGAAAGAAAGAAGAGTAGAAAGATGAGTGTGATTACATCGTTTGGGAAGTAGTAACCTCCCCTCCCCCAGAAGTCATGCACACTCCCTCTGTTGGGCAGATTTTGAATGCTGTGGTGTGTGGGCTAAGTCCGATACTGTAATAATGGCGAGGTTTCTCTACCTGTAGTCAGGGACTGCGCATTGGAATAGTGAATCATTCCTAGCAGATGGAATGGGCGGTAAGACCGCCATCCACTTCTCTTCATAAAACAGAGCAATAGGTAAATAAAGGACAGCCGACTCACTTAACCCACATGGCTTTGCGCGCTGCTAATTATTAACCCAGGCCCAAGACAGGGGTTCACCCAGAGTGTAGTTAAATCATTTTTAATAGAGGTAAACACTAACCGTGTGGGCAAGCAGTACTCAAGAAAATTTCTCATCGGCCACGTTCAGGAATCACCCAGCCTAATTGCCATAACTTTTTAATAATAATAAATAATCTAGTCTTTTTATGGCCCTGGTCTCCGAGGACTCCATGCATTACAGAACTTGGAGGTGTGTGTATGGGGGAAGGATTGAATCCCTCCATAGCAGTGGGGGAGGGGCACACATCCTTGATCTTCCATCAGGTTAAGAAAAGCAGATCTGGAAACCTTTCTTTTTGTTTTCATCCCACATATGAATGGCCAGCTCACATATGCCTTTTCATCTGTCTCCAGGACAAGAAGGGCTCCAGGGGCTGAAGGGCGGGGGAGTTGGGGGGTGAGGGGCGATAGGGAACAGACTTTCTTTGTTCACGTGAGTCTGAGCAAAGCTTTGTCTGAAGGAGTTGATTTCCTCTGCATCACTGTCCCTGGTGTCCTTTGGGCTCAACCTAATTGTGACTGGGGTGGTGGTCACTGGCAACTCCCAGCTCTGGATTTATGTGATTCTGAGTCCTGGCGAGGGTAGAAAATGCCACAGTGTCTTACCCTCAGTGTGGCTTAAATATCTCAGTGAACTTCACTTTCCCAGGGGCGTGGAGTGGTTTTAGAATCTGTAGCAAGGAAATGGGAGGTCAGAGGAGGCAGGCCAAATCCTGAATAATTCTCTGTGGTTGGTTAGACTGAGACCATGACCCCGAACTCCTGTTCTGCGTGCTTTGATCTTTAGAAGTGTCAAAGCTGATGGCTGTGGAGATAGATGCTGTGCTCACAAACACTGGAGCACAGAACGGCGCAGTGAACTTTGAGGGCCAATGTTTTGTAACATCTATTGATCTGGGGAAAGTGTGTGTGTGTTGGAGTGTAACATGTCGATGAACCACATAGACACAATCAGCTACCCTCCTCATCCTCCCTCACTTCCACTGTCCCATCTACACACCATTCCAGCTTGAGCTTGGGTGGCCATTTTCATCTGGTAACATGAAAGTTTAAAAGACCCGTGAGCCATTAATTTCAGGGAATGCAAAGTGAAAGCTGCTAAGAGTCGGATGATTTATGCCACAGACCGTTGAAGACCCGAATGTAGAGTGTAAATTCCATACTGGTTTCTGTGTAGGATTTGTACTTGAATCTGTTCACATTTCCACGTGGGTAAAACGTGAGCATGGAAACACGCCTGGAAGAGCTTTTCAAAAGATGAAGGCAACCTGAAATAGCCATGTGAACGTCAGGAGGCTTTGGGGAATGCTAGGCCTGAGTAGCATCTGTGCACATTCGTCTGCAAAGATGTGAAGTCACAGTAGGATTGGGAGGAGCGAGGCTAAGAAGTCAGTCCTGAGCTCCCTTCATCACAACCTGGTGGTGCTGTCCAATGACTCAAATCAATTCTGAATTTCAAAGGAAATGCTCCTTATCGTGGAGAGGAGGTTGAGGATTCTGGACGGATGTCGAGACTGGGTCTGTGTTTTAAGAGATTAATCTCATTTCCCTGATGTTTTCAAGGTTGGAGGTTTTTGTCTATATTCATTAAAGGGGTATGATAAATGTCTAATTCATTCTTTGCTAATTATCATGATAAGCATTTGAACTTTATTAAGGTTGAATGAATCTCATGTAGTCCTGGCTCACCAATGAGGTTCACCTATGACCTTAGGAAAAGATTTTTCATTTATCCTAGACTCAGTTTCCTTATCTTGTACATTAAGGGAGTGGTAAGATAGAGGCACCCTCTTTTGCTGCTTTCTCATTGGTAACAGTGTCCTGGGGTCTGGAGGTCGGTAGGAGTTTAAGGTCCATTGCTCTTATCCTCAGGAGCTCAAAGTCTATAGAAATAACAATTATAATTGGGGTTATCATTGTGACATGCATGGATTACTTTAAGAACACAGGTGGAAATGGTGAGTTCCCTCTCTGTGGGGACATACTTCACAGTGTCTGTGACACTTGACAGATGAGTAAGAGGGCTCTGTCAGGAGTGCAAGCTGGTCAGAGACTAGGTGTTCAGTCAGTGAGGTCCAGGAAGCAAGCACATGTAGTGTGGTAGATTTAATGGGCTACCTACAGCCTGATCCTCAGTCCCTGGCCAGTGGCATCTCACTGCTGGGCCAGAGTTTGTACTGAAGATGAATGGTCAAGGCTAGAGGATACTGCACAGTATATACAAGAAAGGTTTGTGCTGCTGGAGTCTGCAGATGCTCGAGTCCCTCAAAAAAAATGCCACAGTATGTGTTTGTAATCTATAAATGCTGTTCTGTATATTTTAAATCACCTTTAGATTGCCTCTAGAATCTAATGTAATAAGTGCTGTGTAGATAATTATGATATTATATTACTCAGGACATAATAACAATATGCGTTTGTCCAAACATGTTAATTTTAAACAGAGATTGTGAATATAAGGTGTTCTCATTACTAAAGATTAAAATAACATATAAAATCTCATATAAGATTAAAAAAAAAAAACAAGTTCTATCTACCAAAGATGAGTGATTATCTTTGTGGCCATTGTCGAAACCCCTCTTAATGGAGCCATGAACACGAACGTGCCCACAGGCATATAAATGTCCTTGGGATTATGTGTTCCACCTAGATGTCTAATGTTTTCATTGGAGGTCAGTTAAAATCTATAACCATTTAAAAACGACTCTGTGGGGAGGGTGAGGTGGGGCGGAGACACAGGCATGCTGTGGTGTCTATGTGGACTATCTAAATAGTCACTTCTTTCCTTTCTCCTTCACACAGATTCCAGGGCTCAAACTTGGGTCCTGACCCATTTCCACAGTCCTTAGTCATTAAAATCACTGCACAGTAAGCCATGTACACATATGTCACATTGATTCTCTGGTGACTGTTGGTGGTGTCCCATGCTCTCCCCATTGTACGCAATATTTTGATGAACATCTCTCTAGATCCCTTTTATATCTTTAGGAGATATTTTGTTGGATTAAAGTCCTAAAGTTGTTGGTCAAGGAATGTAGATTGGCTGTCAGACTATCTTCTGGAAGTTTCTTTATGTAGCCCTGCAGTCAGCAGGTGTTAGCTCCCATCTGGGTGGTCCTGGGTCACTGTTCCCGATGTATCTTAAAGATACCAAATGAAAAAGCATGATCAGTTGAGAAACTTCTATGTTGATGGGGAGGCTAAGCTCTCTTGTATGTGGAAGACAAAAAAAATGCTTTCTACGTGTAGCTGTGGTCACTGAGAGATGTAGAGGAAAATGATCATTATCTTGATTCCTGATTGCTAAACACTGAAACAAGTTGAAAACTCAACCAACATCAGAACAGAAAAATAAATGGTAGCATACTCACAGGGTAGAATTCTCTTTAGCCATGAAGATGGCCACTGTACTGTGAGTCCCGTCTGTACTGTTGAGCAGAGGCCACAGTTGGAATAATGGAGCTTTGCTTTCCACTTATACTAGATCAAAATACACTTGGCGTTGGAAGTCCTGTTGGGCAGACAGGATGTTTTGTTTTGTTTTGCTGTGGTTACTAGTAACAAAGTATTCAGCACACAGCCATCTCTCCGATGTTTGTTGAAAAAGATACGTGGATTTTTTTTCTTCATCTTTCCAGCAGATGTTGGGTTCACCGTGAAGACACAGTGTGCTTATTAGTCATGGGTTATAATGTGGAGAATGTATGCATGTGTTGTTTGTATGATTTAAATATGACTGAATTCACAGACCCTTTCAGTCTGTGCTTTTGTGGGTATTATTGTCTTCGACCAGTCAGGTAGCTTTTCAGAGCTCAATGGTTTCAGGATCATGCAGACTTGGGTTCAGTCCTGAGCCCCTGCTGTACTAGCCTTGTGGAGACTCAGTTTCTCTATAAAATAAGAATGATACAGAGCCTGTTTCATAAGGCCATTGCAATCGTGGCATTATGGATCCCAACAAGTAACTTTGTACAGCATGTTACATGCCGACTACTGTCCTTAAGAGTCAAGACATGACACATTTAATCCAGTCATAATGCCTGTGTTCTGGTTTAGAGCACAGCAAATCACAGAGTTTATAAGTGTTAGCTATGATTTAGACCCAGGTGGTCTCCATCCGTGGCCTGAGTTTCATGTACAGGGAGTACCATATAGAGAGCAGTTAGCAAAGCCAGTGTGTGTGAGCTGATTGCTACACTTTGTTCTTTACCATCATTAATATTTTCTTTCTTTCTCTCCTCCCCCTCATGTTTTCCTCTCCTGCTCTCAGATGTTTTCCAGCAAGGTAAGTTTCACTACATTTTGTTGCTCTGTTATTGGCTATTTGGGTGGTAGGACTTTGCCTTCTCTGAAGATATGTCTCTGAAAAATTAAGGGACCCTATAAGGACGGTACCCTGAGATCCCATTGGTCTCTCTGGGCTCTGTTTCTTCCTCTGAACCATGTTTAGGGTTGGGTCTGGGGGCTAAACATCTGTGGAGGAAGGCAGGGATGCCATGGGACTTGAAAGGAGCAGGTATCTATGGAGGGAGTTGTCCTGAATCAGAGGAAGCTCCTGTTTTCAGAGGGCTCCCTCAGCCAGCCCCAATGGATATGTCTTTGCTGAGGAAACATGTAGTCATGGGGGTGTGGCAACAACAGGCTGGTTTGCCACTTGATACCCTCCAGCCTAGCCATGCCTCAGTTGAGTGCCTGACTGACAGAGTCAGACAACAATGAATGGCGTCCTGATTTAACAACCCAAGGTCTGGTGAGCAAAGCCCAAGTGTTTTCTCACTGGTGTGTCTAACTGGTATGTCCCCGTCATGCATAGCTGAAATCCCACAGGTCTTCATACCAGTGTCACTGGCTGGGTTGTGGTTCTTACTTGTGCATAGCCACATAGCTCTTTGAAACAGAAGGGAACTCTGGGGTCATGACCTGACTAGAACCTTCTGGAAGCACATGATGGGAGAATTGCTTTTCAGTCGAGTTTGAGTTAATAGTGGCAGACATCAGTTGTTTGTATTCAAGCTGGGAAATCTATCCACTGTACCTTTCTGGAACCCAAACCTGGTTTACAGTAAAGATTAAAAAATATGCTCAGGCATTCCATAAATAGCTTCCAAATATTCTTAAAGGCTTGGTATTTTTTTTTTTTTACAACTGCTCTTGTACCCCAAACATGCAGCTCACGTTACAGAGAGTACCTGCTCTCCGATAGAAGCCAGGTTTCGGGTAACGAGGAGGGTTTCTATTGTGTTATCTTTTAAGAGTCTGGAGCCGTAGACCTACTTTCATAAATAATTCATAAGTTTTCAACAAGCTATAAGCAATAAGTTCCATTTGACTAGAGACTAAGAGATGGGCAGAATTGGAAAGGTGTCATGGCTGTCGGCGTAATGAGAGCATCGCGGTCGGTTGGTGGCCACTGCCCCACTGGCTTCTCATCCTTGACAAATTGGGGGTTCAGTGAGACAGTGGGGAAGGAGACCCCCAATGAATTGCGATATAAACACCAACCACCCAACTCCAAATGATATTTCTCCATTCAAAACACAAAGTGCTTTTAGCTGGGAACAGGTATTTCAGGGCTATTGGTGAAGGGGGAAGGGGAGAGCCTCCCATCCTCCTACCGCAGAGAGAGTCGTCTCGAGCGCTGTAATTGATATAAAGAGAGGCTGGTGGAGAGCTGATGTCAAATCTGTGTCCCTTTTCATCAGTCATGCTATTTGATTGATGGAATTTGCCTGTCAGTTGCAATGACACACACAGTAAAACTTATAATCATCTACAAATCACTGGCCATTGAGACTTAATAGCATCTGAAAGAGAAGGAAGCCCATAGCCAAGAGTTACCTACTGCATCATGGCATGGAGGGGGGCTGCAGTTCTCTTTGAAGGTATTAGTAGGGTCTGTGTCCCTGAAGAACGCTATTCTCTTCTCTGTGGCCATCAGTTGCCAATAGCTTCTTGGCTAAAGACAAGACTTCTTGGGCCTCTCCCTACCCGTGCTGGGATTTTGGCTAACTTGATCTTGTGTAGATCTTGCGCATGCTGCCACAGCTGCTTTGAGTTTATGTGGGCAGCTACACTGTCCTGAAACTCCCTGCAGGAGTCTACTCCTGGATCTTTCTGCCCTGTTTTTCACAGTGATTCCCAAGCTTTAGGGTAAGGTGTGTGCTATACTTGTCCCATTTGGAGCTGACTATCCACAGTCTTTTATTCTCTGCTGATTTACCCACTGTGATGCTCTAGCCACGCCCACATAGATAGATGGTCCTACACACACAGTGTCCACACAGCCAGCAGTGAGTGTACTTAATGAGGGGTTGGGGGCGAGGTCAGGAGAGAAGAGTGGGAGTGGAGAAATAGGAGTGAAGCATGAGGGGAGGGAGTCGGGGTTAGGTTTGATGAAACATTATGTGAGTATATAAAATTCTCAATAAAGAGTGGCTTCCAACTGTATATACCAGGTTTGATATACTCAAATTTCTATTTATTTATTTTTAATACTTACCAATTTTCATGCAACTTATAAATTTTTATCCATATTTTGTGTAGTGAATGTTTTTTGACCCTGAGTACCAGAACTTTGAAAACATTCGTTGTTGAGATACTACTACAATTTATAAATCTCTTTTATATTGAACAGACATGTAAAAGATACTGACAATGGAATTACTGTTAATTATTTGCAGGTTTTGTTCTTAGAGGATCACGTTGTTCTGAGGCACCTCAGAAAGGATATCTAAGAGCTTTCACAGTCAATACCTACCCTCTTCCTGTGCTTGTTTCTGATCACCCTACCTATGAAAATAATGTTCCAAATAATGTTGACAGACACAGGAAACGAAGCCAGGTCATTCTGCATCCTTTACACAGACTCTGGAAACATTGTTACAATCAGAAATCCCCTGGGGCCGTAAGTTGTGGTAGAAACAAACAGCAGAAATCTAGTGTTTGCAAATGAGTGGATGCCACTGAGGTCATTTTCTGAAACCCATTTCAAGGTGACCACTAACAGTGGCTCTACCTTCTTGAATATGGTGTCTTGGGCTTTGCCACAGGGCTGGGCACTGTGTGGAAGAGACACTACTTTACAGGTGTGTCTTGTCAGCAAGAGGAAAGCCTGTCTGTGTGCAGTCTGGCTGTGAGTGTGCTGACAGGCAGAAGAGGGAAGCAAGCATGCGGTTGACAACCTCAGACCTTCTCGGAGGAAACACACGTTATTTCCTCTGGATTGCATCATCTTTATTTCACTACAGATCAGTCTTGTTACAGTGGGTGACAGCGTGGCAGCTACTGCTCATCCTTTCAGGACTGTGTGTGAGGTATGTGTTTGTGGGTATGGGTTTCTCGCTTGATCCAGTGGTATTTGATTGTTGTTTTGGCGCTTTCTTCTAGAACTGCTGCTTGCTTAGGCCATGGACAAAGATGGTCAAGGGCCAATGGACCCAGAGCTGTATATTTTCCAAACAAAGAACCAAGGCCATGGAGCCACATTTCCTGTTGTTCATAGAGCCCGAGCCACTGGTTCTCACTCAGTGGCTCTTTATGCATGTACTGAGACACCATGTGTAGACACACATGTCTCCACTTAAGAGCTCTTTCATAGCAATCATTTGGTGATGGGGGCACAGGCCTGCACGCATGCGCAGTCACACCCCATAGCTGGCCTGCACGCATGCGCAGTCACACCCACATGCTGGCCTGCATGCCTCATTTAAAGCTACTGAAGCGCCTTTTAAGATGCACTCATCCATAGATGCAACCCCGATTCCAAAATCGAACAGAAACTCAGGGAGCAGCTTCAAGATTAGAACACTGTCACTCAGCTGGGCATTTGTAAATATACAGGGGCACAGTAGCTAGACTGTTGAGTTAATTCTCTTTGTACTGAAGTCCTTTCATGACCTGGGACCAATGAGGTGAAGCTCTCCTCACTCTGGTTTCCGCCCAGAGCTGGGCTGTTGCTTAGTGAGAGATATGTCTTCTGCCATGTGTGTCTTCTGTGTCGGGTACTTTGTTGGGTTTGATGATCGGGGAGTGAATGAGACAGCACCGGGTTCTTTTTCATGGATCCCACAGAGTAGCTGGTAGCCAAGGAAGCAGGGAAATAAAACAACGTAGAGTGTGTCAAGTAAGGGAACCGTTCCAGGGTGATGTTCTTGTGCCTAACAGGAACGCTTCATGTAGTGTGGTCAGGGAAGTACAAGAATGATGGGCTGGGGAGTCTGGAGGATGATAAGCCCTTTGAGCAGGCTTTCAGTGTCCTGGGCTCCAGGGGAAGTGGGTGTGACTGGGGCTGGTGAGTAGAGAGAACGGTATGGTATAGAGTGAGCAGGGAGAACAGGGCGGAGTGGGGCCTGCGGCTCAGGGGAAGGAGGCTGGAGGAGCTTTCCACTAGAAGAGGGCTCCAACCTTATTTACATATAAAAACAGCCCTTTCAGCTGTGAGCAGAGGTGCAGAGGGGCAGTATACAGTGTATGGACACAGGGCTAGAGCTGGCCCCCAATTTGTCAAGGATGAGAAACCACTGCGGCAGTGGCCACCAACCAACCACCAACCAACCGCAGCGCTCTCATTACACTGGTGGGCTCAGGTCCTGCTCTTGCCCCCTGGTGAGTCTCTGCTCTCCTAGGCTGGAGAACTAGCAGTCCGTCCAAGTTACAAAGCCACCTTTATCTAGAACATATGCATAAATATGCATGCGTGTGTGTGTGTGTGTGTGTGTGTGTGTGTGTATGTACTACGTGTATGTCATGAAGCCCATAAATGCTTTTCCTTGGATACATAAATAAGATTACATTGGCTCTAGGTGTCTGTCCTCAGACAACCACAGGAGGAAAATGTGGCCAGGCATACTTGCAGCCACTAAGCATGTGGCAGCTTATTTTTCTTGTCATTTCCCCTGTATGCATCATAGCTGCTGATTACAAAGCACCTGCATTCCTTGTGTTCCAAGTCATCTGAGAGGATGCTGTATGCAAGCATGTTCATCTTAAATAAGGTCTTAAGCACGTGCAGGTTTGGAGGTCTCCCGAGAGTCCTGGACCAACCAACAGATTCCAGGTCATGACTACAGAGTAGATTAAAACCAGTCTGGAGGGATGGCTCAGCAGTTAAACGTACATGTGGCTCTTTCAGAAGATCCAAGTTTGATTCCCAAAATCCACATCAACAGCTTATAACTGCCTGTAACGTAGGTTCCAGGAGATGTGGCATCCCCTTCCGGCTTCCCGGGATACCCGCACTCAATGTGCATGTAACCACACACATGCATATCACTAAAAGAAAAATTT